CTGCTAGTTGAAGGATAACTGGTCAATTAAATTAGAGAGCAATTTGATAATTTCTAGAAAAATTGAAACTGTACATGCACTATGACCCAGCAATTATACTTTTACATATAATATACCTGGAGATATACATGGACATGTATATATAAAAATTTGTTTCAATGTTGTAATAGTATAAAATCGAAAATGACTCACCTGTCCATCTTTAGGAGAATGAATATAGAATCCAGTATAACCCTGTGATGGAATACTATACAGGAGATAAAATGAATAAATCTGATCTATATGTCAACGTAGAGAGATCTCACACACACACACACATAAGTAACAAATGACTGGAAGAATACACATGAAATTCGTGATTGTGGTTGCCATTGATTGGAGGGTAGGTGCATAGGGCAGGAATAAAGGGAACTGCAGCTTTACATGTCATATCTTATTTCCTTTATATTAAAAAATCTGAAGCACATATGATAAGATTTACATTCGTGAAATCTTTCATTTTTGTAAACATTTTTACAAATAAATTACATGGCTTAGTTTTAGAATTGAACTATATGATATTGTAAAGTGTGTCCTGAGAGAAGGAAAGATAATTGTTTCAACATTTTTACCATTTTTAGTAAACCTCTGGATAATGCCAGTAAGCTTTCACAGCTCGTTGAAAAAAAGCTTGAAGAATACTACAAGATTGATGAAAAGAGCCCAATAAAGGTAATGTATGAAAGGCAAGTAGTGACTATGCATAAAGTCTATCTTACTTCTTTACAAGCCGAAAAAACTTACTCATTTATTTTCTAGTATTTGGGAATCATCTATGTAGATCTCCAGTACTGATTTTAGAGCTGTTAACGTAGACAGTTGTGGAAACCTTAATAGATAGTGTGGTTTAGAGGGGAAGTTAGTGGGTTTCGAAGTCAGCACGGTGTCCAAATCCGGCTCTGTCATTTAATTCATTGTTAATGTCAGTTTGGGCAAATTATATAACTTAAGTAACTAAATTTTCCTTTCTATAAAATGGAGATAATAACAGTATCTATTTTATAAGTTAGTGAGAGGATTAAATGAGTTAATACATGTAAGTCCTTAGAATAATGCTTGCCAATGAGTAAACATTTAATAAATGTAGGAATTCCTGTTATTACTAGCTCTGTGACCTTGCATTCATTTTTTTTAATCTATAAAATGGATGAGATAATATGTATCTTGGCTTGGTTGGTATGAGGATTAAGTAAGTTAACATGTAAGTATTTGGCACCTATAGGAATTTAGTAACTGGCAGCTGTGGTCTTATAAAGATAACATAAACAAAGACTAAGGTTGGAACCTTGGGAATACCGGCATTCAGGTGTGGGTTAGAGAATGAAGAGCCTGAGGAGACTGACAAAGG